CCCTCAGACACCATCGGCGGGCGCGCGCGCGGCCCTCTTTGCTCTCTCGCGAGGCCCCCGGGCCTCAGTCCCGCCGGCCGGCCAGGGCGGCCCCCCGGGATTGTTGGGTGGGCCGGGCGCGGATTGTGACGGCGGGGCCCGGGCGGGCTGGTTTCCCCCCTCCCCGGGGTCGGGCTGGGGGGGTTGGACCGGGGACGGGGGGGCGGGAGGAAAAGAGAGAGAAGGGGAGACAATGGCCGGGGGGGGGCGGGAAGGAAAGGAAAGGAAAGGAAATAAAAGACCAAAGGGCGAGAGGCACATTCCCGGGGGAGAGGAAAAGCGGGAGAAGTGAATCCCCCCCGCAGGGAAAGGATTGAACATCCGAGTTTTGTTTGTGCCCGATGCTCCCTCTAAGCGCTGGAGTCTCGTGAGGAAAGATTCTACTTTTTTTGGTGAGCTCCTGGCATTAAAGTTGCCAGCGAGCGATTTGGCTGCTGCATAAAGTAGTTTTCCCCCCAAGCCGTTCTTCCTGAGCTGAGACAGAAATGTGTGGGCCGGAGGCTAAACAACTGAGAGCTAGCTCGCACTCACTCAGCTTAGAGGAAACAGTGTTTGTGCCTCTCTCTTTGTTCTTCTAGCTGGTAGGTTTTTAGCCTGCCTTTCTTCTGACAAGCTCACAGCCGTGTTCTCCTGTTCCATCTGCCCACCAACCTTGTAAGGGAGGCTATGCTGTGTCTGTTTAAAGTTAGATTCAGGTGAGTAAGGGTGCTGGTCTGAAGCAACAGAACAGAGTTTTGAGTCCAGTGGCACCTCTGAGATCAGCAAAGTTAAGAACATAAGAACAGATGCCAATGTTGGATCAGGCCAAAGGCCCATCCAGTCCAACACTCTGTGTCACACAGTGGCCAGAAATACCAGGTGCCATCAGGAGGTCCAGCAGTGGGGCCAGGACACTAGAAGCCCTCCCACTATTGCCCCCCCCCCAAGCACCAAGAAGACAGAGCATCACTTGCCCCAGAGCCCCTAGCTATACCTTGTGGCTAATAGCCACTGATGGACCTCTGCTCCATATGCTTATCTAATTCCCTTTTGAAGCCATCCATGCTTGTAGCACCCACCACTTCCTGTGGCAGTGAATTCCATGTGTTAATCACTCTTTGGGTGAAGAAGTACTTCCTTTTATCCGTTCTAACCCGACCGCTCAGCAATTTCATGGAGTGCCCACGGGTTCTTGTATTGTGAGAAAGGGAGAAAAGTACCTCTTTCTCTACCTGCTCTTTCCCATGCATAATCTTATAAACCTCAATCATGTCACCCCTCAGTCGTCGTTTCTCCAAGCTAAAGAGCCCTAAGCGCCTTAACCGTTCCTCATAGGGAAAGTGTTCCAACCCTTTTATCATTCGAGTTGCTCTTTTCTGCACTTTTTCCAAAGCTATAATATCCTTTTTAAGGTGTGGTGACCAGAATTGCACACAGTATTCCAGATGAGGTCGCACCATTGATTTATATAGCGGCATTATGATATTGGCTGATCTGTTTACAATACCCTTCCTAATAATCCCCAGCATAGCATTGGCCTTCTTTATTGCAGTCACACACTGTCTCGACATTTTCAGTGAGTTATCTACTACAACTCCAAGATCTCTCTCTTGATCTGTCTCTGCCAGTTCAGACCCCATCAACGTGTATTTATAGTTAGGATTTTTGGCTCCAATGTGCATCACCTTGCACTTGGCCACATTGAACCCCATTTGCCATGTTGACGCCCACTCGCCCAACTTTGACAGATCCCTTTGGAGTGCCTCACAATCCTCACTGGTTTTCACCACCCTGAACAACTTCGTATCATCCGCAAATTTAGCCACTTCACTGCTTACTCCCAACTCCAAATCATTAATGAACAAGTTAAAAAGCAGTGGACCAAGTACTGATCCCTGTGGTACCCCACTGCTTACACCCCTCCACTGGGAGAACTGCCCATTTATACTCACTCTCTGTTTTCTATTAATTAGCCAGTTTTTGATCCATAAAAGGACTTGTCCTTTTATCCCATGATTTTTGAGCTTGCTTAGGAGCCTTTGATGAGGAACTTTATCAAAAGCTTTCTGGAAGTCAAGGTAAACAATATCTATTGGATCCCCCTTGTCCACATGTTTGTTCACCCCCTCAAAGAACATTAACAGGTTAGTGAGACAAGATCTTCCCTTACAGAACCCATGTTGAGTCTGCCTCAATAGGTTTTGTTCATCTATGTGCCTACTAATTCTTTCCTTAATAATGGTTTCCACCAATTTACCCGGTATCGACGTCAGACTGACAGGCCTGTAATTTCCCGGATCTCCTCTGGAACCCTTTTTAAAGATGGGAGTGACATTAGCTACCTTCCAGTCCTCAGGAATGGAGGCTGATTTTAAGGAGAGATTACATATTTTTGTCAGGAGATCCACAAGTTCACAATTGAGTTCTTTCAGAACTCTTGGATGTATGCCATCTGGGCCTGGTGATTTATCAGTTTTTAAGTTGTTTATCAGTTTTAGGACCTCCTCTCTCGTCACCTCAATCTGACTCAGGTCTTTCAACACCCCTCCCGAACTCAGCGGCTCTGGAGTGGGCAAGCACCTCTCATCTTCCACAGTGAAGACGGAGGCAAAAAATGCATTTAGCTTCTCAGCCATTTCCCTATCATCCTTCAGTACTCCTTTTACCCCTTGGTCATCCAAGGGCCCCACTGCCTCCCTGGCTGGTTTCCTGTTTCTAATGTATTTGAAGAAAGTTTTATTGTTGGTCTTTACATTTTTTGCTATATGCTCCTCATATTCCCTTTTTGCATGCCTGACCACAGACTTGCATTTTATTTGCCATAGCCTGTGTTCTGTTTTATCAGCCTCACTGTGACTAGCTTTCCACCGCTTAAAGGAATCCTTTTTACCTTTTACAGCTTCCATTACTTTGTTTGTTAACCATGTAGGCTTTTTCTTATACCTGTTTGTGCCTTTCCTAACCTGCGGAATATATTTTATTTGAGCTTCTAGAATTGTAGTTTTAAACAGTTTCCAAGCTTCCCCAATGGTTTTGACCCTTTCTACTTTTCCCTTCAGTTTCCTCCCCACATGTCCCCTCATATCAGAAAAATTACCCCTTTTAAAGTTAAAAGTGGTTGTGTGAGTCTTTTTGGCCAATTCCCTATTTGTACAAATGTTGAACTCAACAACATTATGATCACTGTTTCCAAGTGGTGCAATCACTTTTACATCTCTCACCAGGTCTTGAGTGTTACTTAGGACCAAATCAAGGATCGCCTCTCCCCTGGTAGGTTCCGTGACCATCTGCTCCATAGCACAGTCATTTAGAGTGTCTAGAAACTCAATCTCTTTTTCTCGACTAGAACACATATTGACCCAACCCAATCAATGTGTGGGTAGTTAAATCACCTATTACGACACAGTGTTTTTGTCTAGCTGCTATCTTTAATTCATTCATAATTTTATAATCCTCCTCTCTTTTGATCTGGTGGGTCTGAAGAAGTTGAATTCTGAAGAAGTGTGCATGCACACGAAAGCTTAGACCCGGAGTTATGGTCTTAGAGGTGCCACTGGACTCAAACCGTGTTCTATTAAAAGTTAGTTATTGATGTTATTTATAGTCTCCCTCAGAGTCAAAGCAATGGTATTCCCAGTAGTAATGTATGGCTGCGAGAGTTGGACTATAAGGAAGGCCAAGAGCGGAATAATAGATTCTTTTGAATTATGGTGCTGGAGAAGACTCTTGAGAGTCCCTTGGACTGCAAGGCGATCAAATCAGTCAATCCTAAAATAAATCAACCCTAATTGTTCCCTGGAAGGCCAGATACTGAAGCTAAAGCTCAAATACTTTGGCCCCCGAATGAGAAGGAAACACTCATTGGAGAAGACCCTGATGCTGGGAAAGCTAGAAGGGAACAGAAGAAGGGGACAACAAAGGATGAGATGGTTGGACAGTGTTATTAAGGCAACGAACATGAAATTAAGCACACTTGGAGGATGGCGGAAGACAGGAGGGCCTGGCGTGATGTGGTCCATGGGGTTGTGAAGAGTCGGACTTGACTGTGCGACTGAACAACAACAACAACAACATAGTCCCCATCTCTCACCAAGGAAGGACCCAAGGCAGTTTTATGCATAGTGAGTCGGAACAATCAACAAAATGGGACGTTTAGTAACCAATGTGTTAGGCTTGTAGTAGAGGTCTGGAACCACCAGAAAGAACGGAAACATAGTGTAAGTATTCACATGACACATTGGGTGCGTTCAGACAGGGCATTTTAGCTGGCATAAACTGCTCTAGTTGGAACCGGAGCAGTTTGATCCAGAAGAAACGCGATCACACTTACCTCCTGACTGCACAGCACAATGCGATATGCCTGTCCACACTTCAGGCGCTCAGCAGAGCGCGTTGGCGGGTTTTTTTTTTAACACAGTTTGCACATGCGCAGAGGCAGGCTTCGTTATAATGAAGATCTTTCCG